GGTTGTACACATGTCTGGCTGATGTGGTTAATGAATCAGAAACGGCCATTCCAGTTTCCCTAGCCGTTGCCTGCAATTTGCAGAGGCAAACGTCTTCTGTCAGCGGGCCCAAGGAACCTCATTTTGTAGGCCAACTCTGCCTCCAACACCCTCACCCCAATTTCCGTGTGAGTTAGCGTACGGCCACATGCATTGGGAGCATCTTCTGCTGCCAAAACCTGATGAAGTACGAGGAGTCAGATAGACGAGCTCTACTGACCAGCGGTTCGAACAACTTCTGTAACAGATTTTTTTCTTGGCTTTCGTCTTTCTCGGCTTCCTACACATTAGCTGAAAAGCCCCTTAGACGGCTCTCAAGGTGGCCAGTGGTATCCGTTGTCGTGAATCGGAAAGACCACCCGATGTCCGTTCGACGGCGAACACGTCAGTCAACTAAAAACAAGCTTATAAAGAAAATTGACTAGTTGCAAAGATTTGTTAACCAACGATGCCTAGAATGGAACAGTTTTCGAACCAGTCTTCCTTTTTCCAACAAAAGTATGCAATTTTGATAAGCAACGAGTCTACGCTGCGTATGAGCGTTGACTCCGCTCCTTCCTCTTGTCCGTATTTTACTTCAGCAGAGCTCTAATCAACAACTTCCTACGTCTCCTCTGCACGTGGACTTCCGGCCGAGTTTCATTTCAGACATAGCAGACTAGACTCTTCGCCAATTTACACGGGAATTGGCAGAATTACAATAGGAACATTTATGAGATCCACAGACACATCGCTCTTATTCTAAACTTTGCTATTTCGGCGGGCTCTTGAAAGTGGGACGCGTCATTTCTTCCCTCCCGTGGATATTTTCCGCATTTTCGCAGGAAACTTGACCAGCCACAACTGAATTTTCTCCCTTCTTTATTCGTGCCGTACACCGGCCAGCTCCAGGTCTGCTTGAAGATCATGAACCTCTTACAACGATTGCTCAGCTCACCAAGTGTGAAATGTGTACTTTCCGCATACATACTCAGAGCACTTTGACTGTTTTAGGATAAAATTGTTCTCTCACAGATATGGGCTTTTGGGAGCGTAGCACCGTTTGTTTGTTTGTCCGTATTTTTTCTAGCTTTCCAATCCAATCTCCAAAAAACATATTCTAAGTGTTTCTGGTTTCAACGTTTTACTTTAAAGGCAGACCCTAAGATTTACTCGAGTTGTCCGCAAAACGTACTTAACAAAGTCCTGTGCTTTTCGGTTATGGGAATCATTTTTTGTCCTGATGACTGACATTGGAAGCTAAACGAAACGCTTTGAAGGCTGTCGAAGAACAGGCAGCGTTTTAGCAGAGGCAGGAACCAGTCCCTGAATTCCATCCTTTGCCAAGTCTCATGACCTTGTACACCTCCTCGGAACAACCAAATCAGACGAGAAGAACATTCGCAGATCATGACTCTTCTACGCGCGCACACAAGATATTTTTTAAATGCGTGACAAGTTTAAAGGTGCGCGTGGAGGGCAGAAGATTTACAGTCGGCGTGGCAGCTTTTCATGCTGTATTGAGGAAATCACATTTGAAGCTTCGAGGAGAAACAATAACAACCACGGTACACCTTAGGCGAAAACCAATGGCATGACATTTTTGGTTTTAATAGACTTTTCAAGTATCCCAGAAGCGGTAGAAAAAGGGTCAGCATGAGAGGGAGGACAAAAAGTGTATAAATGACCCTGGGAGCAGCTAATGGAGCCGTCTCAAACATTTGCTATCCCTAAATAAATTAAGGATGAGGTGTAGCGGTAACAGTGTATTATAGGCACCACCACCGAAGCCAAAACCCCAAAAATCTGTTATACGGGAACGGTGGTAATGGGTATTCATTTATTTTTTAATTCATTAATTAATTTACTTTATTATTTATTGTTTTTACTTTCATTTATTTTTCAAATATTGCGCGTTTTTTCGTTGCTATACATTAGCTTCTTGCAGTGTTATCTTCTATTTCCTGCTTTGATTCCTATATTTATTTCCTCTCCTACTTTCCCCATATAATTCCCATTACCATTCGTCTCTTACTACAGAATTCTAGAGATTTGAATCCGGTGGTGGTAACTATAATAGACTGTTACCGAGGTAGCTTCTAGCTTAAGTGGTTCAGGAGTCTTTTTTGCCCCCTGCTGAATGCCGAGTACAGAACATCTCGTATTTAGCACACGTAACCTTTTTAATGTAGTAAAATTGGTTGAGATACCAGCCTCCAAGAAATTGGTTATTCCTGCTTATGCAGGGATGCCGCTGATTCAGAGTTTGCGTGGCTGGCGCTCTCTGTTGCTGTTACTGTGCGTGAACTTACCCAGGACCAGGGTAATATTCTTTACTGAGCTCTTGTTGTGTGAGCAAGTCAAGTCTTGCTCATTAAAAGCCCCACATGAACTGAGCACCAAATTCATGTCTTACAGGTGCGAATGTACCTCCTGACGACGAGGGAGAAAACTCGGGCGTCTGCGTGGTGACCCTTCCGCCCACGAAATGGCACTGGCGTGCTCGCACCGGTGCCCTGGCCTTAGCGGCTCTGATTCCGAAACACGCTGGTCGCGGCTTTCGTGTTATGTTTACTAGCTCGGTCTTCAGCCTGCCGGAGCTGCTCG